TCCTTCCTCTGCTCACCCGCACGCTTAGCCTGCTGTCCCGACGGTCGCCCCAGCTAGCTGATGCTGTGCAAGCCTACCCAGCAGCTTGAGGTCTCCAGGGAATTAGAAGGGCTTTGAGGTTGGCAGAAGCATGGTGGTAGAGACCAGGCAAGGGCTGTTCTCTGCAGCAGACAGGAATCGGCCACCTTGCCAGGCAAGCCCAGGATGAGCAGAGGCAGCCACCCAGACAGAGCTTGCTATCAGGGCAGCTGCTGTCCAGGTGGAGGGCTGCAAAGACTGCACCCCTGCCTCCTGGGTGGAGGAGGGTGGAAGCTCCACCTGTGCAAGGTGTGCTCTGGTGGGGTCACTCAGGCAGTGGGTGGAAGAGCTGCAGGGGGAAGTTAGCAGGTTATGCTGTATGAAGGAGGATGAACAAGAAATAGAGTATTATTTGAGACTTTGCAAGAAGTACTAGGGCCCCGTGGCACTGACCTCCAGAGACTGCTGGACAAAGCACTTCAACAACAAAGTAACAGCACCTTGGAGCAGGAAGCACCATGGTCTCTTATGACCCATAGGAACAGGGTATCACTTCAATCCCCTTCCTTTTGTGTACCAACCAGCAATAGGTATGAAACCTTGGCAGCAGACAAAACCCATGAGCAAAATTCACAGGGAGAAGCCGCACCAGCAGCACATTGTAAAAGCTGCAAAAGGACATGGCGAGTGCTAGTAATGTGTGATTGTTGAGAGGCGCCGAGGCACCTATCTGCCAGCCTGGTATACAGTCAAGGGAGGTTTGCTGCTTGCTAGGAGCCAAGATCTGGGATGTCAGAGGGAGATGACTGCCGCAGCTGGTTAAAAGCACAGACTACTGTCCTCTACTTCTTTTCCATGTGGGCACCAATGACATGGTAAAGCAAAACAAGCAGGACTTCAGAGCCCTGGGGGCACAAGTGAAAGGGAAAGGTGCGCAAGTGATTTTTCTTCTCTGTTTTGCCAGTCAGAGATAGGGGTGCAGGCAGAAGTCGATGGTGCATCATGCAGATCAATACATGGCTTACATACAGATGCGAGGGATTCCATGGGAAGCATCCATGGACGGCAAAGGAGCTTGTGTGTCCTGGGAGTTATTCAAGAACAGCCTCCTGGAAGCACAAGAACAGTCCATTCCCTACCAAGGGAAAGGAAGAAGGCAGAACAAGAGACCACCCTGGCTTAACAATGAGCTTTTGGGTGTACTTAAAAGCAAAAAAGAAGCATACTAGCTGTGGAAAGGCAGCCAAATACCCATTGAGGGCTACAAGAACCTTGCTTTGGAGGTTTTTAAGATGTGACTGGACAGGGTGCTAGATTATTTCATCTAGGCTCCCCTTCCCATGAAAGCTTGGACCAGATGATCTTTCGAGGTTCCTTCCAACCTGGGCGATTCTATGATTCTGTTTATTTCATTTGTGACAAGGTCATTAAAGTGCTCTGAAGTGCAGTCTTTTAACTTTCTGACTCTATGTGTAAATGCTATGTAGCCAAAATACGTGATGCATTGCTTTTTTTCAATATATCCTCAAGTTTTTGGTTCTTTTACTTTTGTATATTATGCTGGTTAGAATTCATACTGGATGTTTGCTCAGAGAAAGAGAGTAAATGAGTGTTGATCTACTATTAAGGAGGAAAGAGAATTGAGAATTTAGGTGTTTATTACCTCAAATAAGTGTTTCCAGTGAATAACTGTAAATTGTGCCTGTTATTTTGCAGACACTATAAGAAGCGTTGTCAAGGCCGGATGCGGAAACATGTTGGTGACTTGTGTTTACAAGCTGGCATGTTACAAGATTCCTTGGTGCATTATCACATGGCGGTGGAACTTCTGCGATCTGTGAATGACTTTCTGTGGCTTGGAGGTAGGATTAAGTGGTAATAGTGAATCAAATAATTAGTTGCTAAAACCAAGTAAATCGAACTATCTTCTATAACTTTCCTTCTCTATTGTGAAAAGTAGGAATGATTTTGGTGATCAAAATCTGAATATCAGGTGTGACTAATAATTAAGTTGAAATAAAAATTAGTTAATAAGACATGAGAAAGAAATGTGTTTAAGAAAACCTGCAACATAAAATGTGTTACTGTAATAAAGCATGTACTTAAAAAAAAAAACAAACTGCATCTGACTTTTTAATGATTCTTTGGAAAGTGTTCGGTTTTTTTCAGTGGATTGTACAGATATTTTAAAAATCTTTCCTGTGAGTATCTACCATGGACTGTTAGGAAAAGATTTCAGCCTTTACATCTACCGTAGCCACAAGTGTTTAACTTCCACTGGCATAACTTCCTTCCTTTCATGTTAGGTCCTAGGCTTCACTTTTTTCCCCTGCCTTTTCATTCATCCTTTCCTTTTCTTTTTTTCATCCCTGCTTTTTTTGTATTTATTGGATTTACAAGTGAACTTTGAGCACAATTTCTGCTTCTCAATTTCATACCCTTTCAGGACAATTGCTGTCTCCAGTTCTGCTTTTAGCTTTCTCATTCTACTTGGAAATCCATTTAGCTTCCTAATGGCTCTGTAGGTTATGTATTATGAAAACCTTAACACCTTCTGACCTTCCACTTCTTTCCTTCTACTCTTCCAAAAGGTTAAATGGCTCAGGATTCTTCAAGCAGGAAAGGAGAACTTTTCTCCTTGTGCACAGCACAAAAATATTTTAAGGCCCATCTGTTGGACTACCAAATTATACTTACAGAATAATTTGGATTGGAAGTGACCTCTGGAGGTCCCCAAGTCTGATCTTCTTGCTCATATCACATCCAGTTAAATCAGGTTGTTCAGGGACCTGTCCAGTTGCGTTTTAGGTATATTTAAGGATGGAAGTTCTACAATTTCTGAGCAACCTGTTCTAATGTTTTGCTGCTTGTAGGTTGAAAAAACCCAACAACAAAACGTAAATTGTTCCTACATTAAAGCAGAATTTCCTGTGTCAACTTGCATTGACCCTCATCCAATCACTGCACCTCTGAGAAGCATCTGACTCCATCTCTTTTGTACCTTCCCACTGGGTGTTTAAAGGCAGCAATAAGATCTCCCCTTAGCCTCTTGTTCTTTAAGGCCAAACAAACCCAGTTCACTCTGCTTCTCATATGTCATGGGCTCCAGCCCCCTGACTGTTTTGATGGCCTTCCACTGGACTTGCTTTGCGATGTTAATGTCTTTCTAGTACTGGGGAGCCCAAAGCTGGACACATTGCTCCAAATATGGTCTCTCAGATGCAGAATAGAGGGGAATAATTGCTTCTCTCCGCTTGCTGGCTACACTGTGGCTGTTACAGCCCAGTATGCCCAGTATGCAGTTGGCCACCTTTGTTGCAAGGGCCTACTGCTAACTACTGTTAACTTCTTGTCTACTAGGACCCCCAGGTCCTTTTCTGCAAAGCTGCTTTCCAGCCAGTCAGCTCCCAGGCTGCACTGCTGCATAGGCTTATCCCATCTGAGATGCTTGAGCCTTTCTTGAACTCCTGTCGGCCCATATCTCCAGCCTGTCAAGTTCTCTCTGTGTTGAAGGCCTGCCCTACTGTTCCCCCCAATTTTGTATCACCCAGGAATTTTCTGGGAGTGCTCTATGCAATCATCCAGGCTGTTAATGAAGACATTAGCGTATTGTCCCCAGTATTCATCCCTGAGGGACACCACTAGTAACGGGCAACCATTTGGACTTTGTACTGCTGGTCACAATCCTTCGAGCCTGGCTGTCCAGCCTATTTTCCACCTACTTTATAGGCCAGCTATCTAAATCTTATTTCATCAATTTGGCTATAAGCGTGCTATGGGAGACCATGTCCAAAGGTCTTGTGAAAGTCGAAATATACAACATCCACTGCTGTTCTTTGTCCACTGAGCTAATCATCTCATCATAGGAGACAGTGAGGTTGCCAAGGACTGATTTATCCTCAGTAAATCAATGTGTGCTATTCCCAGTCACCTTTTTGTCCTTCACATGCTTGGAACTGGCTTCCAGAAGGATTTCTTTATAGCCTTTCCAGGGAGCTGATGTTGATCTGCCTGTAGACCCCGGTACTTCCTTCTTGAAGAAGGGTATGATATTTCTCTTTGTCCAGTTGTTAGAAACCTCCCCCAATTGGCATGACCTGTTGGAGGTGATAAGAGTGGTCTCACATTGGCCAGCTCTCTTGGCATCCATGGATGCATCTTACCTGGTTTTGTGGATTTGTGTCCGACTGGATTAAGTGCTTTGTATGTCTGTCTTCCTCTACTGTGGCTAGTGCATACTCCAACAGATTCTGCTAGGCTTGGGGACCTGGGAGGTCTGAGCGTAAACCTTACCAGTGAAAAAAGACATAAAAAGGACATTGAGTATCTCAGGCTTTTCCATGACCTTTGTCACTAGGTCTCCAATTTGAGGCATACTTTGTGTTTGTGTAAATAGACTTTGCTACATGGTACCTCACTTCTTGCAAGTATCTCTACTAATCTGTTGGCTTTTTTCTTTACTCTACAGCTGCTCTTGAGGGGTTATGCTCAGCATCAGTCATCTATCATTATCCAGGTGGTACTGGAGGTAAAGTTGGATCTCGCAGGGCACAAGGAGGTTCTCTTTCTGCTGAGGCAGGCAACAGGCACAGACCAGGTAAGGATGGGATTTTGTTTTTATTCTGTTTGCCACCACTGAGCATCTGAAAACTTCTTCCCTACCTCCTAACTCTGTAAAATTATACCGATGACAGGATAAACTGCAGGAGGGGGGTGGGAGGGGAGAATTGTATTTGTTTTTAAGACTTTTACATTAATGACTTTTCTACTGTTTTGGCGTTAATGTTGACATGCGTGCTTTGCATAGAGTTGCAAAGCTTTTGATCTCTTCATCTGATTGTTAATAATGTCTGCATTAGTTTGAATTTTGCTGGAGGAGATGCAGACAGTTTTCATAAAGTACATATGTGGCAGAGCTGCACATATTAAGAAGAATAAGTTAGGTACATTTATTCAGAGGTGTTTTGCTATTCTAAAGTCAATATTCAATAAATAGATTTGGTTAACTAAATACCAATAAACCAACATAATTTTTAAGATTTAGTATACTTTTTCTAAACTTTCAGATGGCATAACTAATATGAGGATTGTATTAACATTGATATGGTAGACATTCTTTGAGAAATGGTCTGCTTAAAATATTTTAGAAATTATTAGGAGAGTAACAGAAAAAAATAGAAACTATCATTAAGTCTGCGGTTCACCTGCATCTGGAATACTGTATGCCATTTCAGTTTTCCATCTCAAAAGGGTGTTCAGGTTCCCTATCTCCCATTTTTCTACTGGAAGGAGTTGCAGATTGGCGACAAAGATGATCTTGGTATGGTCTCTGTACAAAGAATAACTGAATAGCCTAGGACTCATCAGTTTTGCAAAAGAGATGGCTCAGGAGAAATATGAGAGAGCTCTGTAATATGGTGAACGTTGTGGAAGAGGATGGATAGAGATCAGAGGTTCAGTGTTTCTTCTGATAGAAGAACTGAAGGGCATCAAATAGAGCTAGCAGATGGAAAAGCAAATGAAAGGGATTATTCTTCATCCACTGTATAGGTATGACGTGGAACTCCTTCTCATTAGGAGTTACCAGACTTGGTAGCGTGATAGAGGCAAGGCTGCTGCAACTCCATGTCCTCAGGTCCAGCCAGTCATGAGGCTGAGCATGCATTCCCAAAAGGCATACAGGCACACACACACAAAATGTATATACATGCAGCCACACAAACCAACATAGACAGAAAACACAGCACTCATATAAACACAGACAGCACTAACAGCCTGATCCTGCTCCCCTCTCTGGCTGATCAGGATGAAAGCCTGTTAGTAGTATGGATCCATCCAGTAGCTGGTTTTAGTCACTCAGTCTATCCAGTAGCTGGCCACTGGATTGCACCAGTTACTGGCACCTGGGCCTACAAGCCTCCGAGACCCATTCCAGTTGTTGGTACTTAGACACCCCCCCCCCCACACACATGCACTCCCCTTATCCCTCTATTTTTCCATGCTTGTTCCCTAAACTGCCTTGAAGCCTCCTTTTCCTTGTCTTTGGTTTGTCCCCTACACATCCCATAAGAAATCTTGTAAAATCCCAAGATGTTCTTTCCCTGTATCCTATAATGAGCCCCATATCCCTGCAGGCAGTAACCCCCCACAGTCTGTCTGTAAGGTGATCCAGAGAGCTGCTCATGTTAACTGATCTTGATGGATTTCACCCCTGGACAGCTCTGTTGGCTCTGATGAAGTTATTGGGGTTCAGGTGATTGTCACTGTTCCTCTGCGCTCCTTTGTGTTTGTGGAGATGAGCTTTTAACGCTTGCCACACGGTGTTAAGGCTCCTGAAAGTTTCTACGACTTCCAGGAGAGGCTGGCTAGGGTAGTGAAAGAAGAATGTGTTGATTATTATAAGCTAGATGGGCCTTTGGTCTAACTCAGCACAGCTGTTTCTGTGTGTATACTCGGGTTCTTACACAGTACTGAAGCAAACAGAAGCTGGGTTTAAGTGCTGGTGTTAAGTACTCTTGTGTGCAATGTGATCAAAATGAATTCCTTCATCTAAAAAAAACCAACCACCCATCTCTATTCATCTATGTCACAACCTAGTAAACATTTGCTTTGTATTATCTTTATTACAAACTGTGTACGTTGACGCCAGATAATTATGATAGTAAAATCACCTTATTTCATGAGAGAATACTAATTTTTCATATAATATCTAGTCATTAAAATCTGTGTGTTTGGTCGCATGACCTATGAGTGCATTTTATGTTGTCTGTTATGGTATAATTTCACACTGTTATTAACCTTTTTCCACTTTTCAACAAATATTTAACAGTAGGTATTGCAATCTGTTTGTAATGGGTACTCCTTGTTACTGAACAAGGTAACAAATAAGTCAGCTATCAGAATAATTGAATAAAATATATTTTGGGTATATTATTGCTGCTTCTCTATATAAGTTGTCTTCTAATTCAAAGTCCTGTTTGCAGACTTGTTAGCATGGTCGTATTTTAAAAATGTTTTAGTTTCATATGACAAGGTTTTTCAAAGGACTTTTGTGTGAAGAAAAACTGATTACAGGTTTTTTGTCACCCCTTCCAGATGAAATGTTACTTCATGGTCTGTTAGATATTGTTCCCTAACTCTAGTTATGATCTCTTAATGTTTTGAGAGCTGAACTGCTGAACTCTGTCTAGCCAAACAGCTATTGTTGTGATGTCTTTTTCCTACAAGGTTTTCTGAAAGTTTCTTTTCAATACCTTTTTTTGACTCTGCAGTGCCTTTCATTTAAAATCTTTTCAAACTGCACCTTTGTTTATAGTCTGCTTTGTTATAATTAATTTTGTGAGCACAGTATTTCATCTGCGGAGCAAATCCCAGTGTATCTTTCTGTAGGATAAAGCCAGAAACAAAAGGGGTTTCCAAATTCTGCGCAAATCAAGAAATGCCATACTTGGAACTGACATTCAATTCGTGCCTACTTTTGAGGCACATAGATGTGAGAGTTACCTTTATTGCTTCCTGATGTGCCTGGAATTGCACCTCTTCTTGTGCCTGTACTTCAGCCTTGACAGGATGGGGTTTCTTGGTACTGCCTTTGTGCCCAGACCCGGTCAAGAGAAACATCTTTCTCTTGAATCTCCTGTGATTTCCACCATTTGGCATTTTTAGGCTATAGCACAGGACCTGGCTGCTCCAGAAATGTTGTGGTGTCTGATTTGTATAGAAGCATCTTTGGAAAGAGAAGCATTAATATCATCTCTCTTTGTATAATATAGAGCAGAAGCTTAAGAGGGCAGTGTTAAAGGGTTTTTTTTTTCCTACTAAGCAGAATCACAATACATTTTATACCTATCTGTAACCATCAGAATATTGTCTGTTTTTTTTTGTTGGCGTACCCTTCAACTTCTTTTGAAACTCTTTTGATAGGAATAGTTCATTCAGAAGAGAATTAGTTGATAATGTAGTGTTTAAAGTACTTGTCGATGGAAGCACTTGTCTGATAGAAGAAGACAAGGAATCTTGCCTGCTCCAAAGACAGGTTTCTTTCTTGGTCATTGCCATGAGCCCTTGGACTGCAGTGTCTTGCCGATTGTGAAAAGGAAGCTTTGATGTTTTAAAGAAGTGTGATTTCTCACGTTCCTAAAATCTTCTGTTTGTAGGGGGAGAGCTTTAGGCTGTGTCCCCTTGAACGGCTGGATTTGTCTCTAAAGCGTTCAGTGTAAAAAAAGATTTTTAATTGCTTAGTTCCTGTTGGCCAGGAACCTGGCCATGGTCTGTTGGCTATGTGACTTGTATGTTGAATAAGCTGAGTTTAGATTGCTTTATGTTTAGCTTACTAGCTGTTTTGGGTTCCTCTATTGTATTTTATTTGTTTGAAGTGCTAAGCTCTTAATTCTGTTGCCTGACCTTCCTCTTTCCCAAGAAGAATTAGGACACCTGAGTGAAGTGTTGGAGTATCTTTCTGATCTTGCTCTAAACCTCTGCTTTACTAGTCTGGAGTCTGAGCAAATCAACTGAAGGGAGGTCCTGTCTCGCTCATAAAGCAATTGTTTTTTGACTGCTTAGCCCTTGATCTTAACAATTTCATTGCCATGTTTAATCAAAGCTTAGGGCAACAAGGTGTTACGTATCTGGTGATCCAACTTTGCAATACTCTTGGCAACTATTTTATGTAGACAATCTGGCTTGTTGGATTGGCATGACTCAATTATTCAGAAAATTTGATGGAGTGAAATTAATGACAATTGAAAGGGGTACAATTACTTGAAAATGTTATTCTAGAGTATTGTGTAGATTAAATGAGCTTCCACAAGGAGATTTAAGCACTGTAGGACCTGATATTAAAATATAGTAAGTGGATTGTGACGGAAACCTGCCAACTAAAACAAGAATAAAGAAGAAGGAGAAAAAGGATATGGCTTTAAATTATACACTGAAAATTCTTTGATTCTTCTTGATGTCTTAGAATTCATTGCAAATGTACAGGATTTTTACATTTGTTTTTTAACAAAATGAGATTTAACATACGGTGACTACTTGAATTATAATTGGTAGTCCTTCAAAATAGCAATGATGATCCTAATCTTATAATTTTGTTCAAGACTGATGTTAGTTATAAAACACTGTAAGAGCTTATTTTGTTGGCTATATTTGAGGCTGAAAAAAAAAATCATTTTTGTTCCTCCTTTTAGGGGCACAAGAAGTTCTCATTGATCCAGGTACATTACTTTCATGCATGTTTCAAAAGTCTTCTTTTTATTACTTGCATTTGTTTTGCATTTGTATAGATAGTTACTGCCACTTGCCAAAACTAGTACTGATTCCTGATGCTTCAGTTTTTGGCTATAAATCTTGAGGAAGCAAGACTTGACTGAAGGGTAACTGGCACAAAATAAATGATGTAGTTCCATGATTGTGCCCCTGTAAATTCTAATCAAGATTGTTTCTTCTCATGAGTAGTGAGGACTTTTAAAATTTTCTTTTAACCGACAAACCTGAATGGTTGCATGTAGTCTTGTAGTGTCATGGTATTCTTTCAATCATCACTAACAAAGATTTTGCACTTAACTTCCATAAACCCCCTAAGGTGTTAATCTACAGATGTGCTTAGTATGATTCTTTAAGGTTGACAAACATGTAAAAGATGCTTTAGCATTTGAGCATGTGAAGTAACATATTTCTGACTATATAGAGGGAGTAGAAACTATCTTTCACAGTATTTTTTAACTGTCTATTGAGAGTTAGGTTCAGCTCTGAAACACAAAGGTTTCTTTGCCATCTTAGTAGAGAAAACTCTTGGAGAAATTAATTACTGTATAAATTCAGGCATGTAATCCTACAGATTAAGTAAGATTTAAAAAGGTATAGAGCCTTGCCAAACGTTTGATGTATGTTTTCAATTTTATTACGTTAACTCTGCAATAAAATCTGCTTCTATTTTCGATTCTTATCGTTTATGTATGTTAAGACTCCTTCTGTCTCTCACCTTCTTTCTTATATAAGAAAAGCAATTTCTTACTGTTTTGTCTGAGCCTCAGGTATTTTTTTTTTTTTAATTTGGAAGGCTCAGATTTGGTGGCCTTTGTTACAATGTAACACTTGTTTTTCTGTGATTAGGCATAGGGAAGAGAAGTATTTGTTTTAAGTGATTGGAGAAGGTCACTGTTCTAATAATTAGTTTATAAAAACATTGCATTTTTTTTTTCTTAGGTGTGCTTTAGAAATACAATTTTTAAGTAGAACAAGGAATAACTCAAAGATTAAAATTGCATATTCAGATGTGGCTGTAATGTAATTTTAGCAGCATAATATTTTATTCATAGTCTAAATACTCAGATCTAAGTGTAAAAGACTATGAATATATTTGTTTTTTACTAAGTGAAAGATTATTTCCTGTTTGCTGGTTTATGATTGAATCCATTTTTCATTTGCACTCTTGAAAATAGCATAGTAAAACAGAACTAGTGTTTTGTAGGTAGGGCATGATTTCTCTCTAGGTAGGGCAAGTATTCTTTGTGTATGCTTTGGTCAAACCTACAGCATATCCTAGTTTTCTTCTTAGATACTTAGTGTTTGCTAAAAGTCCTTCTGCTCATTTCTTACCCTGTTCTGTTCTAGGTGCACTGACTTCAAACGGTATAAATGCAGATACCAGTTCTGAGATAGGACGTGCCAAGAATTGCCTTAGTCCTGAAGATATCATAGACAAATATAAAGAAGCCATTTCTTACTATGGCAAGGTAATCCTACTTATTTTTAAGAAACTTCACTGAAATTCTTGTGAATAATGAACTGCTGTGGTTTTGGTTTCAGACGATCTTCTAAAGCATGTGCAATAAAGTTTGTAAAACGTACGATAATGGAATAAATAGGAATAATTTATACTGCTGAACTAAGTGCTTGGTTTAGAGTCTGGGAATCTCAGAACTTTGGCCAAAGACAACACCTAAACCAGCTGTGTGCTGAGTAAGCTATTTACTGGGCCTCCTAGTACCTAGAGGTTTTGGATTAGTTGTCTTATATTTTTAAGTTTGGCTTTTAAAGCACTCTAAGTAAAAGCGCTAGATATTTTAAGGTTTGTTAACTATTACATATGTTTATGGTCCTTAATACATACACCAGTAATAGAATAGAATAGACTATTTCAGTTGGAAGGGACCTACAATGATCATCTAGTCCAACTGCCTGACCAATTCAAGGCTGACTAAAAGTTAAAGCATGTTATTCAGGACCTGCAACCTTGGCGTTATCAGCACCATGCTTTTATGCATTGTGTAAGCTGAATGCTTATTTACTGTGCCTGCTGGAATGATCTCTGGGGAATTCAAGAGTTTATGAAGAGGTTGCTGATGATGGTTATGATTTTACAGGATTGTTCAGGGAGGCTAATATTTAGAGCATGCGGAGAGGTAGGGGGTTATGGAGGAAATGTGGAGGACAAATATTCTTAAAAGAGGATTTACAAAAATTAAACAGTTTTCAGCTCTACTGGAGCATTTTTTTAGATTTTTGTGCGAATGCTCAGAACGTAAGATAGTAAGGTAGCTTAATGTTTGCATTCATAATATGGAGAGAAAAAAAAGGATTTCATACTGTGACAATAGTAGCTCAGTATCCACATCAACATTAAAGATAACTTTAATGGTATTGCAGTGTAGTTATTTATGCTTTTTAACTTTTTAACTTCAAGTATCTCTCTTGTTTGATATTGAAAGTATCTTTAGACTAAGCTCTGTAAATATGATATGGCATTTCCACGTCTGTGTTGAAGGGAGACTCTTCAAATGAAACATGATACATGGTGTGCATGAGTTAATTTATGATCAGAAGCAATGAAATGTGATAGTTTTGGGGATAGTTTCCAATAAATTTGAATCAATCAATATAACGATAATTCTCAAGTATGCATTCAGCTTTTTATGTTACCTTAAGGGTAAGTTGCTCATCTAGAAAGAGTATGATTTCTTAGAAATATAAAATTATTGGACTTTGTTGGACTTAGGGCAGGATATTTATGTTTTGATTATAATAATATACATTATGCTCTCAGCAAGTAATAACTATGCTTCAGTGCAGCTTCACTTGCAGATAACTAAGAGCTTTGTCTTGGGACTGATCTGTAACTGTTCAAGACAAGCATAGTTACCTTTTGTCTAAGACCTACATATAGAGTAACTCCTAGCTCTAATGCTGAGGAATCAGCACTTTCTACGTATTTTTTTGTTATCGCTGAGCTTAAGAAACTTTTGTAGCATCTTCTAAAATGGATTCAATCTGCAGTGATTTGTTTTTGTTGATATAAATGCACAAGAGAGGAACAGGTAACTGCTTTGGTGGAGTAACTCTTGCATTTTGTTCTAAGCTTTATTTCCCCCATTAGATTTCAAACGTGATAAATGCCTGAACAGAGTTTAACTTCAGCAGGAGATAGGCCAACTCAAATATCCATTATCAGTATTGTTTGAGGAAATAACTAGGTCAGATTGTTTGTCTAGAAAATTGCCTGTGTTTGTTGTCAGAGCTCAAACTGATCAATGCACACCTAATTTGTCTCCTGCCTTTCTTAAGCAAGCTGAATACTGTAACTGAAAGTCATTTACAGAAAATGTTTTGTAAATAGATATTAGAAAACTCAGAATGGTTTGTAATTCACTTGTCTTCAGTGATACTGTTTTAACTAAAGAGAAAATTGATGCAGTAAAACTAAAGTTCTGTTGCTACAGCTTCCTGTGCTACATAATGTACTTTGTAATAAGTAGAAAGGCAAAATTAATTCTTCGTTTATCGTGATAGAACAGTTTTAGGTGGTGAAGAATTACTGTAAAACTGACCTTTTGCTTACATACCTATTACAGTGTCTTTGTGGAAGACACACCACCCACACCCACCATATATATATATCTGAGGTTATCCAAAATGATATTAACATTTCCAACTTTTCTCCTCGTCTGAACTCTCAGACTGAAGCTGTGCTGTGTCTCAAAATAAGAAAAGTGAGTGAAGAGGCTGAAAACTGTTGTTTTGCATAATAACATTTTAGATGACACCTTAATTTTCACTTGGGCATATGTTGTTAATTTAACAGTATAGTCACTAGCACTGAGGAATCGCTGGGTTTGGAAGATGTGACAGCTGGTTTATGTATTGAGCAGAAATACTTATAAAATCTTAAGAGGTGCGATACTTCAATATTATTTTAACTTTCTCTCTCCAAGTACAAGAATGCTGGTGTGATTGAACTGGAAGCCTGTGTGAAGGCAGTGAGAGTCCTTGCAATACAGAAAAGGAGCATGGAAGCCTCTGAGTTTCTTCAGAATGCAGTTTATATCAACCTTCGTCAGGTTAGTGCGGAAAGTCCAGTTTTTTTTCTCTTCTCGTTTGAGAGTGAAAGTGAAGTGTGAAAGTTACTTAGATTCAGGAGACTCCAGGTTCTTTTCTGCATCACTGCCTTCCTTCTCACTAGGACTTGACTTCTGAGGATTTTCACATCTGTGAGTCTGGTTTAAAAGGTATTCAGACTTCATCTGAAAACACGAGGACTTAGTTTGAGATTAGAGACTCCATTGGTTATTCTCCGTTGTGAAGAAAAAAAATCCCATTGTTGTTGTATTGTGATGTTGTACTAGGGAAAAATAGCTCCTTGGGAGAAATCTGCAATGGATTTTTTTTTTCTTCTTGATTGTATCTTGTTCAATGAAACTGTGAGCAAATCAGGAATGACCTGTTGCAAAGTGAGCTTGAGTCTGACTAGTGTTGTTCATCAATTGAATTTTTGTTGTGTAGTGTGAAGTCTTGGTTAGGCCAAATCAGAAAGGAATTTGGAGGAGAAAATCAGTGTTTGGAACCGTGAGAAAAATGCTCAGTACCACCACAGAATAAGACTAACACTTTATCGGTGTCTCAAGCTTGGTGTCACTGGTTACAGAGAGACTGCTGTGGTTGAAAGAATTCATAAAAAGCTGTTAGGTTTCTTACCGTTTTTCCTTTTCTGCTCATTACATCTTGGTAAGACTAGCAATTTTAAGTCCACACCATTGAGCTTATTAAGCCCAGATTGGGACAGCAAATTTATGAGGGAAGCAGAATACTGTCTTTCATTTGTGGAGAATCCTTTCTGTGGAGTCAATTTTCTAACTCAACATAAACAAGAAAATAATTAATTGATAAGCTATCATAAAAATCATCAATTTTGTCGCAGAGTACCTTGACTGCTGTAATCCTTGCAGTGCTAAGGGCCTTCTCTTTAAGTCTGTAGTCTGTCTTTCACTGGCAGCTCTGTAGCCTTTCATGTAAGCTGCTGTGGCAGTATTCTTCCCTTGTTGTTCTTGCACTGTTATTCTCGTGGCCTGCAAACTCCAAAATTGTTGTTATGTTGTTTTTCTTACAGAAGCAATTACTGTCATTGTGAGAATCACCTGGTCTCCTCCCTGACACCACTGATGTTGCAACTTCCACTTTATATTAGAGGAAAAAAATAGGACTTAGTGAATGGCAAAATATATGTGTCATTTAAATAGCTGATAAGTATTACCTAATAATACACAAGCACAAAGCTTGGCAGCTAGTCAGCATGCAACACGTGCCCTGATGAAAGCTTGCCCCAGCCAGCTCTAATAGTGTCCCAAATAGAAACAACTAAGAGTTTGAGTGGGTCCTGATGAAACACATCTAGTGAAAAAGTGTGGTGAGAAGGCATCATCGTTTTTATCGCTTGCTGTGTTGGAGAGAACCAGAGAAGCGTGTTCTGGGGGCCCTACTGCTTTTCTTCCTAGCTGGCTTGTCTCTTTCTCTCTGCTTTGTTTTTCCTCTAAAGGAACTTTGAACTTGATGTATGCCATCAGCTATTGACCCCGCAAATAAATCTTTGTGCATGTAAAGCATGCCTCAGTGTGCATTGTCACACTATGTAAAATATATTCTATAAATGCCAGATGTCCCACTGTCTGGATAACCTTGAAATAAAAATCAGGTATATTATGTATTTTTGTTGTAGCTCAGTCAGAATTTAGGGGGTTAATGCAGGTATCATCTAGCAACCTGCAGCAAAGTGACACTGTTTCCCACAGCCTTCTCCTGAACAAACTGGCAAGATCCAGACTGGATGGGTGCAAGATGGGTAGGAAGTTGGCTAACAGGCCGCACTCAGAGAGTGGTGATCAAAGGCTTTTACTCGGGCTGGCAGGCTGTCACAAGTGGGGTCCCTGTCGTGAATGAGTGGAATGCACCTCACTCAAAAGAGAGAAGCAGCAATGTGTTTTATTGGGGTCAATGAATTCGATGGAATTTAACAAAGTTTAACAGGGGTTTGCCAAGGTTCAATAAGTTTGATGGCAAGGTTCACCTTATTAATTACTGCATGGAAGAAACATACAAAGGAAAATTGAGTTAGAATCGAGTTAGAATGATTCACACAGAGACCGGAGATGCAAAAGGGTAAGGAGGACCCTCCCGTTGTCACGAGGTTCAGAGAGGACCCCCTTGCTTTCTAAACTCCTTATGGAGCCTAGGTGCATCTAGGTCCGATCTTAGTCTCAGACTTGGACAACAGTTTATATCTAATGGAATTATCTATACAAAGTTTATAATAATGTTGAGTAGCTACATGGATTAGTAATGTTTCATTAATATTAATTCAGCATGCTATCAGTCACTTACCGAGCATCTGTCTTGAGTAAGGGATCTCTCCGCCTTGGGCAAGAAAGGATCTTTTAGTCTCGGGTAAGGAATCTCAGACCTTGAGAGATGTCCTTACTCAAGGGAAGAGTCACCTGGTGTGCAGTCCAGCTGCAATTCAGGGAGAGCTCAAATTGGACTTATCCAAAGATCTGCTGTTGGTAAAAGGTTTCTCTGCCTCGAGGAGCAACCTTGAGAGGCGTCCCAGCTCAAGGGAAGATCACTGCCATGCAGCTATGCTGCCTAACAGGGAGAGCTCAAAGGCGGCTCACTTAGGCTGTCATATTTATGGGATAAAGTGGTTGGCTCGTAGTCAAATCACGTGTGATGGAAAGGTAGGCATGAGGCTCCTTGTACCCACAACTTACTTCGTTCCTTGGTAAATGAGTCTTAGAAAAGCCACCCACTATTCATGTGTTAATCGCCATGATTGGTGTTCCAAGCTCATGTGCATCAATGCTCACTGTGTCACTCTGCTTCTTTGTGGGTTTTCAGAGAACAGATTGAAACTAGAGGATTTCTTGGCCTGGCTATGGCTCAGGCCTTTGCCTCCTTTGGAGCCTGTACCAAAGCACTGCTGGTTTTTGGTTAAGGGGTTGAGTCCACCCATCACAGTCCCACAGGGATCAATACTGGCCTGTTCAACATCTTCAAAAATGATCTGGATGATGGGATTGATAATGACACCAAACTGGGTGGTGAGGTGGACCCATCAGAAGGGAGAGCCATTTTACAGAGGGACCTGGACAGGCTGGAAGAGTGGGCTAGCAAGAACTGTATAAGGTTTAACAAAGATGAGTGCAAAGGCCTGCATCTGGGACGACATAACGAAAGAGCCCAGTACAGGCTAGGATCTCTGTACGGCTGGGCAGCAACTTTTCTGAAAGGGATCTGGGTGTCCCAGTGGACAACAAGCTGAACAGGAGTCAGCAGCGCGCTGCTGACAACAAAGGCAAATCGGATCCTGGGCTGCATCCGCAGGGGCATTGCTAGCAGAGACAGAGATGTGATCAGCCCACTCTACTCAGCGTTTGTAAAGCTGCACCTGGAGTACTGTGTCCAGTTCTGATCCCCACAGTATCAGGAAAGGTACGGACAGACTGGAGAGGGTCCGAAGGAGTGCAACGAAGATGATCGAAGGGCTGGAGAACCTGCCTGATGAGGAAGGAAAGACTGAAGGAATTAGGTCTTTTTCTCCCTGGAGATGAGAAGGCTCAGGGGGGATCTCATCACAGTATTCCAGTACTTAAAGGGTAGCTACAAAGAGGACAGAGGCTCTTTCCTCACAAGGAGCCACATGAAGAAGACAAAGGGCAATGGGTACAAGTTGCACTGGGAGAGGTTTCATTTCAGTATAAGGAAAAAAAAATTTTTTCAGTAAGAACAATCATTCACTGGCACAACCTCCCCAGGGACATGGTGGAGTCTGCATTGCTGGAGGTTTTCAAGATGCTACTGCACAGGGTGCTAGATGATCTTATCTAGACTCCCTTTCCCATGAAATGTTCGACCAGAGGATCTTTCGAGGTCCCTGCCAACCTTGGCTGTTCTATGATGATTCTGTATCACTGAGTGTAACTCATCGTTTGCACAACATGGGAGATCAAACTAGATGATGATGGTACTCAGTAGACGTGTTCTAGAAAAAAAAGATATGTTAAATTGGGTACTAAGGAGCACGATCATTTTTCTTCTCAAGTGATATTGATATTCACTGACTTTTTTATTTTTTTTTTTTTAAATCATATTAATAGTTTGGGTTGGGTCTTTTCCACTGAATCTTCTGCTGTAGCTTGTATACCTAATGATCACTTGTTCATTTCCTGATGTCAGCTATATCTGCTATTATCATTATGCCACTGTAGAAGTTCAGTATAAGGTTGCTTTAAAAAAAAACAAACCAACACCTTGACAATATTGATTATTTGGGCATTGAGGCCCACTGCTGAGCTGTGAACCATTCTTTACCTTTATTGATTTCAATCAAGGATGACATTCATCTAGCTCGTAACTGCACATCTACTACTTTGTCATTTTCTTGGGTGGAAGTGTTTCTAGAAAGCATTATTATGAGAAACATGAGTAAGATAATCTTTCCAGTGTTGAGGAATGTATTTACCATAAAGAGGGGTATGGCTGGGAATTATATTTACAGCTCTTCAAGATTTACTGTATATGGCATGGAAGCAGATAATAGTTATATTTGTAATTTGGACTAACTCAAAGGAGTCATCCTGTGATAGGTTAGGGAAACAAACTGTAGGACAGTGTTTTTCTCTTGCAGGTAGATAGAACATCAGCACAACCAATATTTGACAGCAGAAAAAATACCTGACAGGCTAAAGTGTATGCCTCTGATAAACAGGAAAACTGGTTTCTTTCCATATATTCAATCTCCTGCCCCATCTAGTAACATGTAATTGGTGTTTTTTGATTGTAGGAGAGCTGCAGGGTAATGAACTTATCTTTGCATCCAGTTATGAGGAATATGAGAAATAAATTGTAACATGTAATTACAAAGAAAGTGAGATTGTAGAATTTTAATATAGTAAGGAATAATTAAAAAACAAATAAAAACCTACCCTCTTGAAAGCCTGTCTTAAAACAAGCCTGTGAAAAAACTGGCTCAGTTGCTCGGACAGTGAACTACAGCCTTTACAGGTGCAATTGCTAACTTTATAACTGTTAAATGAAAATTAACCAGATGGAAAAGAGACTGTGCTTCAGGTGTTGGCTATTTCACAGCCACTTGATAGGTCTTAAGCTTTTATAAATTTGTAAGGTCAGGAGCGGTGTTTGTGAATGCTGCACTAATGGTCTGCAGAATGCCTACTGCAGTCTTCCCACAATTAATTACCTGGAGTATCTGTGTGGGATTTATTTATTTATTTTAAATTTTACATCACTGGGTGGTAACATGTAACTATTTGTGCTCAGGGAAAATGCAATTTTGCTGTCTTTGTTGCAATGAAAAAACAGTTTCCTGCAACTGCAAAAAATACTTCAGTAACTTTGTGGGCAATCATTATGCAACAGGTTAGATAGCAGTGTTAAAAACTTACTCAGATATGAGAAAAATAAAACTTTCTGAGAATCTGTTGCCTCTCTGATAGTTGTTCCAATTTTTAGTAAGCGCCCATGTTTACCTAGATAGCATGACCCTGTTTCTTCTCATCTTAAAAATTTAGTTTCCATAGGTGTGTGAACATTGACAGTATTATGTATTCAAGGAATACCTTTGAATAGTTCTTTTTTAAGCTTTTCTAACTTCCGTACGTGATCATGTGCTCATGCCCTTTCTAATTCTGCTGCCGTATTTTTTTATTGTGTTAGCTTTTTAAAAATGACATAAAGGGGGGGGGGGGGGGGGGGGGGAGGGGGGGGAAATGGAGTAGCTTTTTTTCCCTACTAAAGTAGGTAACCTTAATCTGACACCTCATGTTCTTTCTGAATGATAGCTTTTGGGGATTCTGATAAACTGGTTTCAGATTGTTCTGTATTTTCTTTTGTGCCTCGTGTTCTTTCCAGCTGCATTGATTCATGAAAGTTTTCAGCTTGGTGCAATCGCCTTTTTACAACTCTTGTTACAGGGATTGGTCTTTTATGTGGATGGGCGGTATTTTTGCATTGAGCATTGTCTTGTGTTGTCAGTTCTGAGGGAAATAGCAACTTCGTCTTCACAAATTTTCTGTAACTTTCTAAAATGATCTGCTAGTCTATCTGTCTGTGTCTCTTCATATCCTGAGGTACTAAGATTTGAACTATCAGATAAAGTCATGCTGCCTTCTGAAAACTCTAGGCTTCTTTGAGGTCTCTCATATCCCTATGTCTAAAATTAAATTAAATTAAAAAGTAACTTTTGAAAACAGACTATTTTTTTTTGTCATTGTATTAGGATTTAAGTGACTAAAAGATGTTTTGAAGCTTCGTTTATAATACCTAATTATTTCTTTAAAAGTTAACCAGTGTGGCTACCATCTTCTTTTGACTTTCCAAGGCTTTAAGTATCTGAAGTTAAACGCACAGAATCCACTGATTGATACTTCCAGTTTTGAAGAATGAGTTGCAGAAACGCTGTTTCTGTCCTCTAGTGCTATTTTTGTATGAAGCTTGTCATTTTAAACGCCTTTGCAAAACGTGTTAGCAGCTTTAAAGTAATTTAAAATATTTTGTATTGCTTTTGGTTGTGCATGCCAGCTATTGTGCACTAGGTGTCAGCATTGGTCCACCTTCAGAACTCAATACTGCTTGTTACTGGGGTGTAGACTTGAAGTAGTTGGTAGCTTCCAGAGTTTCTGTGGCAGTTTCTTCTTGGCTGTCTGATTTCATAGCAAGATTGTCATTCAAAGCAGAGGGGAAAGAATGGTTACTTGGGACTTGTACCAATATATTGATAAGCTAAAGAAGCACATGTTGGTAGTTCCTTATCAAGTTTGTTTCAACTTTAAGCCTAATGGGGCTCTCACTAAATTTTTCCTCACTAGTTGGCAGTCTGTATTATAGTACCATGGAATAAATATTTTGTGGTTTACAAGATCAGACACACATAAAAATCGAGACAGTAGTTTCCTTGCTTCCATAGCTTGAGATTTCAAGATTAATAATTAGGTTTTTTCTTAAAGGGATGAAAACACTTAACTTGGTAAATCAATAGATATTGGAAGTGGTGTATTTTTGTGTTCTTATTATGCACATGAATATCATGCTAAATATCTTCCATAAAATACCGAGCTGTTTAGCTGTTATTGACTATTTACTTGTTAGTTCTACTGACAAATAAATTTGATAAAGAAATCTATCTTTGCTGCTCTTGTTAACTGTTGAACTTCAAGCAAGCTTAAGTTTTCCTCGTAGCAGAAGCTGTCGTGACTGGCTCTATGCAAAATCACTGGCCCTTCTGTAGTGTTGGAGATGTCTACTACATTTTTTTTCCTCCTGTTTTTTTTTTAATCAGATAGATGCTTTAAAGTTTTATTTGATTAAAAGCAAACCTTTTCTCTTTTCCCTTTAAATTTCAGCTTTCAGAAGAAGAAAAAATCCAGCGTTACAGCATTCTTTCTGAGCTCTATGAACGTATTGGTTTTCACCGAAAGTCTGCTTTTTTCAAGCGTATAGCAGCAATGCAGTGCGCTGCACCTAGCATCCCAGAGCCTGGGTGGAGGGCCTGCTATAAACTGCTTTTGGAAACTCTCCCTGGCTATAGCTTATCATTGGATCCTAAAGATTTTAGCAAAGGTAAGTGTCTCTGGGAAAGTATGGATTTGAATCCTAGGTCACTCAACTGGCTTTCTGTAACTAATTTCCTTGAGAGATTTCAAATAAAACCAAAATCCTTTACCTATTTGAAACTAATTGTGGCAAATAGAGCAGTTCTTCAGAATGGTACATTCACTTTTTGTTAGTGTTGCTTTCAATAATTTAAAATTTCTGCGAGCTACTGCTGAATGTGTTGCTGTATTCCTCTGTTTGCAGCAAATAATTACGTTTTATTTATAAGAGCTTAATTTCTACTCTGTTTCAAAAATGTCTTTTGTTTTTTATTATACACTTCTCAGTACAAAAAAGGTCATATTTTATTTTTGAGTATTTTTTCAATTAAGGTGCCTCCAACTTGTGTATCAGAAATTGTATTTCTTTTGGTATTTGTTGTTATTTGATCTTATAATCGAAGAATGAAAGATTCTTTTACATATTTTTGTATATAGACACACATACGTATGTGCATATAATGTAATTATATCTATTATCTGTAGGTTCAAATATGTCATATTTGTCCACAAATTAGATCAGAGTGATACTGTCTGTAAGACTAGCATTTGGTTAAGACATTTCAACAGTTTTTAGATGCTATATATAGTTTGAATTACTTTTGTTGCATCTATTAAAAACCAATGCAAAACCAGCCCGTAAGAACACATGCCTATTCTTGTAGCTGTTAAATACTGTGTTCACTTCCTGCAAGCTGTATGCTGCTTGCTGCTCTTCTTTAGGTAAGCTATGTTTGAACGATTCTATTGATGTTATCTAAAACTGTATATAAAGTAATAATTTTAAAAGTTCTCTTTAGTTTAATATACTGTGCTGCGTTTTGCCTCTAAAGGAAGAAACAGCTAATATGCTGCTTGGGAACTCCTTTTGAGTAAACCTTTCCATGTAGCCCAACAACTTGCATTATTTTTGTATAGTAGCATTTTTGGGGACCATTCACTAAATGTTGTAGCTGCAGGAGCGGAGCAGCAAGCAATGGGCTGATGGAAAGGAGGTGGGGTTCACCAGTAAGAAAACTCTGAACTGGTTGAAATATGAATGAACAGCAGCTGGAAGAGTCTTCTCCCTTTTGTGAGAGTACATTGACTGTCTATTGTTGGGATTTCAGTTTGAAGTTGTCTTGTAAGTTTAGGTGTTTCCATATGTGGAATTCAATTCAGTCAATGGAGAACACGGAAATACTCAGCTGACCAGCCACTACATGGTATTTTCCACGCTGTCTTAGCTGCATTTGTGATTTCCATTGATGAAACAGGCATGTAGACAACCTGCTGTATGTGTGGATGCTTAGTGGTTTTTTTTTTAAACTGGTGTGATTTTAGCAGTCACCGAAAGAAATGGTATGTGAAAGGAGGCAGAAAATGGCAAGTGGACTAGACAGAAAGATACAAATTGTCTTGGAAGAGGGGATGTACTGGAAAAAATATGCTGTGGGCTATGATGGAAAAGGAGAAGACTGGGATGGGACTGTGTTGGGAGAAGAGGTTGTAGAAGTTCTGCAAAAACTGACGATTACAAAAAAAAATGATGATTGGTGTTTATCTTTCATTTTTAAGTTACCTTTATGTTGCATTGAAGCGCTTTGTCAGATTTTACCCCTAAAATGGCTTTTTCAGAGACATATGGAAAGATCACTGTAAACTGTAAGTACTGCTTGATAAGAACATTATTTCACACATTAAAAATAAAATGACTGCTTACTTTATAGGAACTCATAGAGGATGGGCTGCAGTACAGATGCGTTTGCTTCATGAGCTAGTATATGCTTCCAGAAGAATGGGCAATCCTGCTCTATGTGTCAGGCATCTGTCTTTCCTTCTCCAGACCATGCTGGATTTTCTTTCTGATCAAGGTATGATTTTTAAAAAAATGAGATATCTGCACTTTCTCTGTCCTACAGTCAAATAATGTGACTTTGTTTTGAAGTATATTTAATTTAAGAAGTAATAGAGAGCACAGAAGTTAGGGAATTCTGTGTATGCATGAGTAATTGACGGTAATCAATCACGTATACAGTGTTACTAGTTTTAAATATTACAGTGTTCCGACCTTGATGTGTAGTATCTAAAATAAAACTGTCTTAAATGTTTTCCATCTGTAGATTGACTGCCTCAAGCCTAATGCTCTATTTCCTTGGTAAATATTAGGAATATGATCAGAGGGCTTAATTTGTGTGTGGATTAAAAAAGTAGTAGTATTTGAAAATACTAGCAGCCTTCAAGCCTTCATAAGTGCTGTTAATGAAGAGATTGAGAGGAATTGAGGCTGAAAAGTAAACTCAGAAGAGTGTACTGTAGTTCAGAGTGAATCTACAATGAGTTTTCTGATGAGAGATGTTTTCTGATGAAACATTAATAGTCTGGATACAGAAGTCATCTAAGGGAGTAGGCACGATCCTTGTCCCTGTGTTTGAGACAATAAACTTGTAGCAGCTGAACATGATGGAATTGAATTCAACAGTATTTAACTAGGACAGTAGGCTTAAGTTTCTAGAAGTAAGATAAGTTTCTGTGGTTTCTTTCAGTTTGTGGGTTGTTTTTAAATTCAGCAATAAATTTCAGTGGGATTTATTAAATTTGACAGTGGATGACAATGGAATGAATGTGTGTGTGGATGATTTTCAGAAATGGTAATGATATGTGTGAGGACCCTTTTGGGGGGGGTGTGGGCATGTAGCACTTACAAAATCACCTGGAAAAGCAAAAAGGTGACAAATGTTATGTTTGTATTATGTTTTTTAGGAAAAATGTTTCAGACAGATTTATTTATCACCCAGAATAATGAGACAGAATTAGTGATGAAAGGTTTTAAAAATGTTTTTGTTTCACAGTAAGCTAGGTAAAAGGTGCATACTTTTCAGTTATGCCTTTGTTTATGATAAAGAGGATGGGAGTAAAATGATCGAGGTTTTTTTCCCCTCTTTTCTCCTTTAGTAATGGCCAAATGTCTCTCCTTGGTGACTCCTGCAGCAAAGAACTTTGCTGGCAAGCTTTAAGTCTTTGCCTGCCAGTGAATCCCCTCTGTTTAGTGGCTCAAATCAGTAGTGGAGGAAGGAGAGGAACTGAGAGGAACTGATAAACTGGAATAAATTATCTTTCTGTCTGTAGATCTTATTTGCTGTCAAAAGGTCCTTGGATTTTCCTGGACTTCTAATGAAGCTTTCTTGATTTATGTATGGGAGGTTTGGCTGAAGACAAGGCTTTAAGCTCTTCTACTACTGTCGTGGTTTAACCTCAGTCAGCAACTGAGCACCACACAGCCGCTCGCTCA